CCGTAGAAGTACTCCAGACGAAGGGATGCGTTTGTATTTCTTGCGTGGCTATGAGCATGGTTAGTGTATCGTGAGCGATGACGTCGTACTGGTGTCTGTGGTGCAGCGTTCTCCATTGTTGCACGGAATGCGATTTTGAAAAGTGAAAAAAATGGGCGCGAAGATCGCCCAACTGCAACCTTCTAGAATATTCGATCCAATTCAACTTCAAGCACGGCAGATTCGAAATGCTACTTGGCACATTGTTGGGTAGTGGAGTCATTTCCATTGGTAGCATGGTACATTTCAAAGTGTGTTGCGGCACTAAGTGTCAATTCTATTGGTCACAAGGCCAAATGAATGGACACATCGCCCTTTCGAATGAGCGCCAAGCCAAGAACGTTGAAAAAAGTCCCAACTCAATAGAAAAAAGGTGTACTATTCACGTTAAAGCCATACTGTAGGATGATGAGTCCTATTAATTTATTGGACGTTTGGTCCCAGATATATACATATTGTAGTAGTTAGTAGTATTGTGAGGTTTTTCACCCCAAAGTTTCCAATATTGTACTGTGTCAATCGAGCAAAAAGCAGTATGATTGGCTAAAAAGGATAATGTGAAGGTTGAGAGCTAAAAATCTTAGGGCTCCTCTGGATACCACGAATTATGGCATAAAATGACGAAAATCTCCATAAAATGGTGAAATGACAAAGTCGCGATTTTGTTTCGTCTGGATACCACAAAATCCAAAGGAAATATTACAAAACTATATATAGCTAGAAAGTTCACGAATTATGGCATAAAAAAATGGACCAAAATGGTCAATTTCTCATGTAAAGACAGTCCATATTTATAACACTTCAACATCAATGTTCTGCCAAACCGGCGCATTTCGAAAACCGCAGCAACCATACAGCACACAGATGGGCCTTTGGACCACCACGTTGGACGAGATCGTGCAGCAGTACACCATACATACTAGTACGCATCACGGGACATTCGAAATGTCTCCTCGAAGGCATCTTCGTTTCCTTGCAGTATTTCAGCAACCCACAAAGCCCCCGACAAGATGGAGACCCGCGTTGACTTCTTCAAGAGGTAGGCGGAGTAGTGGTAGACCAGGTATGACATCAACATCATGCGACGCCGCTTGAGGCGCCGCCGACGAAGCAGCATCATCATGGTCGTGAGCATCGTTTTGGCGCGCAAGTTTGAATCGGATGAAACGTAAGTGATGTTTGGTATCCAGACGGTTTCACCATCTCTTCTTTTTGTATTGCGTCTGTATATTGGACAAATTTTGTAAAATCTGATTTCGAGTTTTGGCATATTTTTATGGCGTGGTATCCAGAGCTAAACCTCATAAACTTGATTGAATATCATATTTCAAAGGTACATCGATAGATTTTTGAAAATCCACAAACCAACCGCCCACAGTATTTGGAGTAATTATACGATATATGATGCCTTGTATTGAATCATGAGACAGCAAGTTGCCGTTCAATCGTACAGAAGCTATGTCTTAACGCAGAGTACAAGTGAATTCGCTATAAACGTCCAAATTTCGCATGGTTTGGCTAATCTTTAATATTGAATCACACTGGAGTTCTGTTTGGCTGAATATACTTGTCCTTTCGAGCCAATCAAATCAGGAAATTTGTCCCAAATCCACAATACGAAGTACTTCACAAAAGCCCCATTTTTCGCGATCCACTAAAGATTGTATGGCCCAAGTACTGTTGTACTGTACAAATGTAGCACGGGTATCAGTCTAGTCTTTGATGTAAAGAACTCGTGAATATTGCCACACTTGACAGAGTTTTGATGTGTTGCCATTTTGTAGACTTGAAATCAATATCGTGGAGCCGCCACAATTTTCTTCATGGGTCTGCACCCAATCATATTGCCTGAATTCTACAGGAACGAAATTGATTGGTATTGTGCATTTCGCGCCCAAATTTGTGATGTCGCCAAATACTGTACTACAAGTCTGCCATGTAAATATTCGTGGTACATTCTAACGTCATATCGTTGCTTTGCCTCAACTCGGTCGTACTCGTCGGATGGTACCGGTAATGGTAACTGACATGAACACATGCTTTCACGGCTAAAAATGTACTTACAGTTAGTATGTACCATGCACCAAGAAATGTACTGTTGATGTCATAATTGTAGTGTCAAGTGACATTTGTAAGCGAACATTGAAATGTTAATTATTCCAGTGAACATCAGAACGGGTATTTCACGTCTGCACTATCTCCTCCGCCCACAGGACGAATATGACGCTTCAATACAGTATACCTTATATGGTAGATTCATGTCATATCCACCACACATAGGACTATTCGTGTTCAATTTGGTTCACTGAATCAGGAGCCTTTGATATCGACCCGAAACTCTTACATGCCGCCCAAACGTACCGGTACAATGTAGCATTCGCATCCAGTTGATCTAATTTACAGCTTGTACAAACTATACAAAGATTATGTGGTTTTGGCTCGGCCCTATGAAATGATTGGATTGGTAGACATTCGACACGGCGTGTGATTTGATTGGCTTAGGGCATCCCCAATGGTGCGACAGTATCTACCAGAAACGGCATATTATTACCCGAGCCGGCAAATCGGCCATTTTTGCCGCTTTGTGAACACCGAACGGTAAAATACAGGAACCAATCATTGACTACTAATTGAAGTAATTTCACCAATCAATTGCAAGCATGGATATCTCGGTAGTTAGATGCTCTCAGAATCACGGTTGGTTCGAGCAAATGCAGCGCAATTGATATTGGAGTTGCCTCCTTTGACTACTGTACCCTACTGCCTGGGTTGAGTGACATTGCTCATGAGCATTTTTTATACCTTTCGAGGGCAACAAGTGGGCAAATGGACCCTCCATCAAACTCAGAGATAGCTGGTTTTCCGCGAAATCTATTGGAGTAGAGACATGCAGGTTGAAATTCACAGTTCAACATGAACTCTAGTCAATATCACTATGTACGATGGGATTACTTGAGCGTAGGACCCAATTTGTTGTCAATATCGTTGTGTCACCATAACCGGATGACCCTGTTGGGCGGATGATTTGCCGTTTTCACCGTTGGGAAAGCAAAAAAGAAAAATGCAGTAAACGTCAACATACAGTCTGATTATACCGTCACACCATTGGGGATGCCCTTAGGCGGTTCTTTCCCCCATTCTCGTAAGACATTCGCTTCTGCTGAGGACTCCAGTGTCGAATCGATTTGACAATAAAATTGTTTATGTGTTTATTCTAATAGCCAACCAGATTGCAGGAAATCACCACCGACCACCAAGTGATGAATGTGTGGAACTTCAACTACCCACAGAACACCTTTTTACGTACAAAATTCACAGTAGTTACAAACAATCGATGGATAAGTTATTTGGTGATTCAGCAGTAACACAACGGCCTATCCGGATATTCGTACCGGATAACGTTCACGAATCACATCGTTTTTATTACGAGGGAATTGTATGCAATTTAAAAAACGGTTGGAATATATTATATTTTTATTACATACAATACCCAAGTCATAAAATCAAATTCAAAGAATTCGACATTCTTGACGTACTTGCGCGCGTCATAAAACCCTCGAGCGTCATTTTTTGAAACTGGACCAAAGTGACCGACCATCATGACTGCGTTGCCGCCTTCCGCGTTGGCGTGGCCCGTCCCGTCTGACATTGATGTGAGCGACTCCATCACGCCCGCGCACATCGGAGAGATCGCCAAGGCCGCTGGTTTGGTACGTCTTGCCCGTATGACGACGACTCACGCGTCAGGAAATGTCCAGATGGAAGACGAGATCGTGTACTACGGCACGACCAAAGCCAAGGTCCAGTTGTCGGTGCGCGATCGCTTGGCAGGAGTCACGGACGGCGCGTATGTGGTCGTGACGGGCATCACGCCGACCCCACTCGGAGAAGGCAAGTCCACCACGACAATCGGGTACGTTCACTGCTCCCACAGACCCTCCCCCCCTCTCCTCGTTCCTTCTGTTTCATGATTGTGATGGTGGTAGGTTGGCACAAGCGTTGGGTGCCCACTTGAACAAGAAGTCGTTTGCGTGCATTCGTCAAGTAAGCGCACAACATGTGGCCCTTCCTTCTCATCATGACATCGTCGTGCTCAATGCGACGATGATACGTAGCCGTCGCAAGGTCCGACGTTCGGTATCAAGGGTGGCGCCGCGGGCGGCGGATACGCGCAAGTGGTGCCCATGGACGAGTTCAACTTGCACATGACGGGCGACATCCACGCCATCACGGCCGCCAACAACCTCGTATGACGCGTCAATCTAACACTATTTGCATACGCATGACGCTAAATGGTGTAGGTGGCGGCTGCAATCGACGCGCGCATGTTCCACGAGTCGACCCAGTCCGACAAGGTACGTTCTCTCTGTTGCAGTGTACTAGTACAACGTAAATGTGATATATTGGCCCCAATCCCAATATATATATATACCTGCGAATATATATATATATATATATTGTGCTTTGAGCCCCAATGTGATTCTCCACATCCATTGATCAATGCCAGACCTTGGAAATTTCATACAAAACCAAGTTTAAGAGGTTATCTTTGTGACTGCAATGCATCAATCAATCTTTTTAGCCAATCATATTGCTACCTCCATTCTTTATAGCCAATCATACTCGTTTGCTCGATTAATTGGCGGTTTCATCAATTCCCCCAAGTAGGCACATTCGACTGAAAAGCACCATATAACACGTGTAAAACTCGAAGACCTGTCAATCACACGAGTTCCAGTCATACACTATTTAAAGTTACACACTCTTTAGAGTCACACACTATTTTCGAAGATTTCGATGTGCGATCGGATTGAAATTCAGTGTTGTTCCTCGTCTTCTGCCCATTCGTTTCTGTTGTTGGTCGAGTTTGGAAACAATATGAAATATAAAATAATTTTTTTTTTGGCCCCAACCCAACATATATATATATATAATTTGGTATATATTAATATATATATATATAATTTGGTATATATTTGATATGCAGGCGCTATTCAACCGCCTGTGCCCTGTAAAGAAAGATGGATCGCGGACGTTTGCAGCGGTCATGGAGCGTCGGCTGCGAAAGTTGGGCATCCTCAAAACCAACCCCAACGACCTCACCGACGACGAACGCAAACAATTTGCTCGCCTCGACATTGACCCTTCCACTATTACCTGGTATATATATATATATCTTTTTATCTATCTATATATATATATATCATTTTATCTATATATATATCATTTTATCTATCTATCT